GGCTACCCCATGTTTATTAGTGTGAACTCACATCTTTCTCCAGGGTTTATGTCTGTATTATTGTTTTTTCCAGTGACTTACAGGGACTTGGAGAATTCTCTAGAGTCTTTTGTGAGAACTTAGGTATGATTAACTTTCAGATTTTTTGCCTCTTATCTTCTGAGAGGCTGAAAATCTTAAAAAAAAATAGATTCACAGTAGGGATCACAACTCCTTCAGCTTCAAATGGGGTTGTGGACCTTTCCCAGTGTCTCCTTGGGTCTCAGTGTTTCTCAGCTCTATGATGAAGCTTATGGCTTTCCCGTGATCTTAGTGGGGCTCAGAGCCTTCCATAGTGTATCTGTAGTTGTCAGAAGTATCTCTAGGATTTCAGCATGACTCACAACTCTCCATAGAGGTTCAAGAGTGTTCCATGAGTTTGTGTGATTCAAAGGTCTTAAAAAAATGTTGTATGGCATTCAGAGTTTTCTCAGTGTCTCAGTAAATCTCAGCACTTTCCCCAGGTTCTCGGTGGAGTTCATTGCCATTCTCTGGGTCACAGTGTTGCTCAGGTCCTGCTCAGAGTCTTCATCATAGGGTATTCCCTGGGATTACAGTAATCTCCAGGAACTTTTGCAGAGTATTGGTGGTGCCATTGCCTTCCTAGGCACTCAGTGATGGTACAGTCTTCCCAAGAAACACTGTTGATCAGGGCCTATGCCAAATTCTCAGTGACAGGCAATGTATCAAATGGACTCAGCAGTTTTTCCAGGGCCAGTATGCATCAGAGTCTACCCTAGAGTCTTATGGAGGCTCAAGGCCTTCCCAAGAATTTCAATATTGTTTAGAAAGGTTTACATATTATTCATGGTGTATGTAATATTGCCTAGTGTTTAGAAGAGGCTCAAAGCTCCAAGAAGAGTCTCAGATTTGTTAATTTTCAATGATGCTATAAATGATCTTCAGAATTTTTGGAAAGCCAAGGCCCTTTCTTAGTTTTAAAGATGTGTGCAGAACCTTCTTAAGAGTTTTAATGGTCTGATTTCTGTTCCAGACATTCAGTGCAGATCTGCATCATTCACAATTTCACCATGTGCTCAGGGCCTTCCCAAGGTTCCCAATAGGTCTTATTGCCATTTGCAGTGGAACATTGAGTTTCAGAACTAAGCTCAGTATGCACTTTTTTCATTCATTTACATTCTCTGAGGTTCAGTGGTAATCTCTGTGTCTTCATGATATTCAGTGCTTCTTTAAGCCTTGGAGCAAGGCTCTGAATCTCTCCAAGTAAAACACTGTTTCTGGCCAAGCATGGTTTCTCAATGCACCTCAGGACCTTAACCAGGGTCTGTGTGAAGCTAAGTGCCATTCCCAGCATCACAGTTGTGCTCTGCATTCTCCACAGTGTTCAATTGTTTATCAGGCCTTTCCAATTACATTTTGGAGAATAGAGCTTGCCAGTGTGTCATCATAACTGAGAGATATTCCCATTGTCATGGTCATTGCTATCTCTCAAGGACTTCCTCACTGTGCCGATGGCACTCAGGGCTGGTCCATGTTCCTTAGGGTAAGCTCAGGGCTTTCTGCAGGGTCTCAGTCTGGCTCAGTGCTTTCCCCAGGGACTTCCACAGGCTCAGGGGACACTCTTAGTCTTTTCTGAGATCTCAGGTATAATTGGATCTCAGACTAATGCTCTTCAATAAATAGCATTACAGTGGTGTTGAGGGCCTCCACCAGGGTCATTGGCATTGGGGTCTTGCTCATGGTCTCCTTGTTGTCAGTGCTTTTCCAGCTCAACTATAAAGCTAATAGCCTTCCCATTTTATGTATTGGGTCTCAATGATTTCCACAGGGTATCTGCAGTACTTCGGGTGATCTCTAGGATTTTTTTGTCACTAAGGGCTTTTCATAGCATTTCAGGGGTGTTCCAATGCTTTTCATGAGTTTGTGTGATTCAGAGGCCTTCACGAGTGTCTCTTCATATTCAGGCTTTTCACTGCTTTTTTTCTTTTTTCTTTTCTTTTTTTTTTTTTTTTTACCAGTGTTCAGGCCTTTTCCAAGTGTTATCACTGGAATTCAGGCTTTTTCAGGTCACTAAATGTGTTCATGTGCTCTACTACTAATTCAGTGGATTGGGATCCTTACCCAGGGTCTCAGTGCATTTAATGGTCTCCTCCAGTCACAGACATGTTCTGGTTGTACCCCAGAGTCTTAGCATTCTTCTTCCTTTCATCATGCATTCAGTTGTGCCCTTAGACATTCTCGGCTTACTAGTGTTGTTCAAGGTATCCTCCAGGTTTTCAAAAAGCCAAAGACTTGCCCAGGGCCTCAGTGGAACTCATGGCACTACCAGGCTCATGGCCATGATCAGGCTATCCATTTGTCTCAGGGCATTTTTCATTGTCTTAGTGAAGTTCAGAACTATTCCCAGAGTGTCAGCTTGGACTAGATAGTTTTCCAAGGACACACTAGATTCAGGGTTCCTGCCATGGTCTCAGAAATATCTCAGCACCTTTCCCATGTTCTCATTAGAGTTCATTGTCATACCCAAGGTCACAGTATTGTTCAGGGCCAACCCAGCTCCTTACTGTTAAAACAAAAAGACTGGGCTTAAGGCAAACTTCCCAGATCATTTTAGCCCTTATTCAGGAGCAGGACTTCACCAATGAAAATGCACCCACTTTACTGGTGGAACATAAGCTATAAAGGAGGAAAATGGGTTTATATAATTGAGTGTGATTTAGTGAGCATGTGAGTCTGGGCACTCAGGGATTTGTATCCTTGTGCTGGGGTGTAGGTGGCCACTACTTGGAGACAAATTGTATTAAAGGAAATTAATGTTTTTCTAGGTTTGCTGAGACACTTTCTCCCTTCCTGTGCTCAGTGTTTGGGAAGGATTTATCATGGGAGATAAGAAACTCATAAGTGTATGGCTTTCTATTCTATTTCTTTCTCCTAGGTCTCACAATCTGTGGGTATTTCTTTTTCTATATTTAATAGTTACTGAGTCTCAGAGCATTCTGCAGGGTCACAGTGATGCCAGGGCCTTCTCCAGTATCTTACTGGCTTCACAATCTTCCTGGAACTAAGTGAAATTATATTATTCCCAGGTTCTACTGGTGATCAGGGATTGACCCCCGAGTCTTAGTGAACCTGAAAATTTCTTCAGGACCTTAGAGGGTTTCAGGGAATTTTCCAGTGTCAGGAGGAATTCCTCCTTATTGTCTCAGGATGGGTAGAGGCACTTTGCAGAATTTCAATCTTGTTTAGAAAGTTCCATATGATGTTTGTGGTGATCAAAATATTTCCCCGTCTTTAAAAAAGGCTAAAGGCCTCAGTACAAGTCTCAGATTGGATAAGTTTATTCACAGTTGTCTCAGTGATATTCAAAATCTTCTTCAGAGACTTCAGATATCCAAGGGCTTTTCTTAGGATGAAAAATGTATGCACAAAATTCTCAAGAGTAGTAGTCACCTCATTTTCTTCTCAGGATCTCTGTACATCTCAGTTCCATTCCCGAGGTCAGCAAGTGCTTGGACTTTCCTGAGGCTCTCAACAGGTGTCATTACTTTTTCCAGAGGCTCACTGAGTTTCTGATCCAGACTCAGAGTCTCGTTCTCTTTCAGAGTCTCTTCCAGCTTCTCCACAGGACTCAGTGCTATTCTTAGAGTCTCAGTAATGCTCACCACTTCTCCTAGACTCAGAGCTCCCTTAAAATAGTGGTTTCAGGGCCTTTCAGGGTTTCTCACTGAATCCCAGGCCTTGCCCAGGGTCTGTGTGAAGCTCAGTGCCATTCCCCACATCACAGTGTTCCTCAGCATCGTCCTCAGATTGTGATTTTGTGTCAGGGTCTTCCCAAGAGACTCTAATTGGCCTAGATCCTAGCCTATTATTTCAGTGGGTTTAAAAACTCTGCAAAGTATGATTGTCCCACAGTATTCTGGGGAAAATAATGGCCTTCTCTAGTGTCTCAAAGGAGAATAGTACTTGCTCAGTGTGTCATTGAAATTCTGGGATATTCCCATTGTCATAGTGATGCTCAGGGTCTTCCCTTCTTTGTCAGCTGAACTCAGGGTCACCCCAAGTTTCTGAGTGTAAACTCAGGGCTTATTCCACTGACTTAGTCTGCTTCATTGCTTTCCCAGTTGTCTCAGGGTATCCTCTAGGGTCTTTTTTGGATCTTAGGTATGATTGTGTCTCAGATTTTTTTACAGAGAGCTTCTGCTGGGCTAAAGGTCTTTAATATCACTTCAGTGGGTTTTAGGGCCTCCACCAGTGTCTATGTTAAATTATAGATTTTTTTGCATTTTATAATGTATCTCAGTCTTTTCAATCAATAGTGTGTTTCATGACTTTTCCATATTTTCTTTGTGGGCCTTAGTACTTTTGTCAAGATATCAGTTAGTCTCAGGTTCTTCCCCAGGATTTTGCTGTGGCTCAGGGTTGTCCACCATATTTCAGGAGTGTTCAGATCATTTCTATAAGTTTGTTTGTACCATATGTATTTCCAAAAGTGTCTCTTGGGATTCAGAGCTTCCAAGGTTTCTAAGTTGTGTTCTGTTCTTTTTCAGTGTACCATTGGGTTTCAGGGAATTTTTAGGTCACTAATGAGGCTCAGTCTCTCTTCTACTGATTTCATGGATTGTGGGGTCTTGCCAAGGGTCTCAATAAGTTTCAGGGTCTTCTCTAATCTCACAACACATGATACGAGTGTTTCCCATGAGTTTAGTGTTATCCTTTCTTTCCCTGGGCATTCATTGGAATTCTTAGACATTCCTAGCATCTCAGTGTGGTTCAGGATATTCCCCAGGTTTTCAAGAAGCTATTGGTTTTGCCCAGGACCTCAGTGGTACTCATGGCCTGTGGGAAGTCACTCTGAATGGACACCTTCCAGTCCTGAGGCAGGGGGCTTTGACCAGTTACTACATTTCTTAGTGACTTGGGTGTTGTCCCTCCTCAGATAGCAAGGCTTGGTTCCAGGTGTAGGCATGCCCACTGGGGTTGAGGTACACTCAGCTTTTCCCTTGTAGTCCTACCCCATCTGCCCTTTTTTTGATTAGAACTTTCTAAGAATAGCATCCCCCCAAATAAAAGGCCACTTCCAAACCTGCTTCCCTCTCTCTTGACAGCCTCCTGTGATTTTTCTCTTGTTCTTCTTTCTGGGGAGCTTGAGTTCAAGAACTGGGGAAAGCCATCCTGAAACTTGTAAAAGGTAATTTGTGTCTATGTTTTATTTTGCATGACCCCAAATTCACACAAATGACCTTAGTTTAGTCTTCTGCACTGGTTGGGGATAGAAATGGTCTTTTACCAGCTTTTGCATTTTCTCAGCCTTTTGCAGGGTTCAGTCATGTCCAGTGCTATTGCCAGGGTCTCAGTGGGGCTCAGAAAGTTTCCCAAGGACACACTGGATTCAGGGTTATACTAAGGTCTCTGTAACCCTCAGCACTTTCCCAGGTTCTCAGTTAAGCTTACATTCAATCCCAGGGTCACAGTGTTGCTTGCGGCCTCCCCAGCATTTACTAAGTCACTAAGTCTCAGGCCATTTACTAGGGACCTAGTGCCTCTGAAGCTTCTTGCTGAGTCTCATGTTCTGACTGTGAAAATGTACACAAGACAGCACATTTCTCTGGGGAGCAAACTCCTGGAGAATAGGTGTCTTATGTCCCACAGCTGGAACATTCTACAGTTTCTCCCAGAAGCTATTAAGATAACAAATGCATGCTTATTCATGACTCCTACATGATTATTAACAGGAACATCTTACATTATAACATAATGTATCCGACTTAGTGATATAATGAACAATAATGTACTAATGGTGCAGTGAGCTACTGTAACCTAATGGTATAAATAAGGACAGCTGCTTAGACAACAGCCATTTTGCCTCTGCATCTTGCTACCATCTCCTTTTTTTTCTTACAGCTGGCACCCAATGTGGTACCTGGACATCGAAAACAGGGACACTTCTGGATGTGTTAATCAGGGAAGGGAGTAGCTTTTCACCTGGAGCAGGCTGAAATGTGTCTTTCATCAGCTGCTACTGATCCCCATTGGTAAGCTATGGGAAAATTCCTGTATGATGATCAACAATTTCATTGGGCTGAGCTCTTCTACTTATTTAGCAAGGCTTGTCATGTCACATGGATTGCTGACCTCATTGCTTTGCTGGCAAAAATAAGTTCTTGTTGCTCCTGAAACTCAGAAAATGGTTATGTAGGCACAAAGATTGGGAAGATATAGGCAAGAATCTTCAGGAGGAATGGGAGCTCCCATTGCATGCTTGTCATCTTTGTCCCAATGCTATTTGTCTCTCAGCAAACAGCTCCTCCTCTGTCTGCTACCACCCACCTGCCACTTGTAATTCTGACATTCTTTTTTTTTTTTTAAGTTTCTTCCCAGTTCTTTTTTTTATTGGTTGTTCAAAACCTTACAAAGCTCTTGACATATCATATTTCAAACATTAGTTTCAAGTGAGTTATGAACTCCCATTTTTACCCCAAATACAGATTGCAGAATCACATCGGTTACACATTCACATTTTTACATAATGCCATACTAGTAACTGTTGTATTCTGATTCTGACATTCTTTATGGAGGTGTTCCCTTCACCTTCACCAACTCCTCCTCCTCTGCTGCCACTGCCACCACTGGTTAGATCTCACTTGGCTGAATGTTTACAGCAAGTGGAGCAGGAGGGAGAAACTCACACCTTAGCTGTTTGACCTATTAGGCCAAATCCCACTGGCCAGCCAGAGCATAAGCAATTGTCTTTTGCTGCATAAATGCATTCTGCTGTCATGTAGAACTAATAAAAACAAATCAAAATAATTAAGAAAAATTGCTAGTGGGATGAGATGGACATCATTACCCTAGATATGTGTATGACTGCGCATATGGTGCAATGCTACATCATGTACAATCATAGAAATGTAAAGTTGTGCTGAAATTGTGTACAATGAATCAAAATGCATGACAGCAGTGTCATATACACATAATTAAATAAATACATAAATAAATAAATAAGAATGTCAACATACTTTTTTGGAAAGTGGCAATAAGGAGGGAAATGCATTTTTCTAGCCCTCTCAAGATCCTATGACACAAATGTTACCAGTCTAGACACAGCCATCTCTTCATGTTAAAACAGAGCATCCTTTCAGAAATTTTTTCATGCCCCTAGAGGGAGTACTGGCATTGATTTAATTACTACTGAAGAAGCCTGGTGTGGCTTCCTGGGGAGGTATATAAAATTGCCACTCAAATTCAGGAGACTTTACCCAAAAATGCTTTGGGATTTTTTTTCCTTATACTCATAGTGTTAAAGAAACAATATTTATTATTCCAGAGGTAATTGGTTCTGATTTTACCGGTATAATATGTGCCCCAATGTGGTTCCATATGCCTTTAAGTCTCCCTAAAGGACCCTCTATTGTTCAATTAATTGTGATTCCCTATGTTACATCTCAACAGCCTTTAAACAAAAGAGGAAATGCAAGGTTTAGCTCTAGTGTCATGGGAACATGTTTACTGATCACTGAAAGTAGACCTAAATTGGCTCTTTACTTAAATGAAAAACCAATTATGGGATTACTGGGCACAGGTGCTAATATCATACCCCTTTGGTATGGCCTCATTCCTGGCCCCTTCAAAGGGCAACTCTGGTTTGGGACATAGGAGGCATAATGAATGGGTGTTCAAGAGCTCTCTGTGGTCACAATGCTCTGCCCCTTCCAATCCAACACAAATCATCACCCATGTGCAGCCATATGTGATGGCAGAACCTTTTCCTACATGGGGCAGAGACATGCTACGTAAACTCCAGATGTCTGCAGAATTACCTTTTTACTGGGGCCTCTGCAGATCTGAAGAAGATCTGCCTTGTCACTAATGTGGAAATTCCCCACCCCTGTCTGGGTTGAATAATGGCCATTGTCAAAGGAAAATGTGGAGCTGCAGAGGCCCTTATTCAAGAACACCTACAACTGGGACATATTGAACCTTCTACTAGCCCTTGGAATATGCCTGTTTTTGTTATAAAAATGAAGTCAAGAAAATGGAGATTATTACAAGATTTAAGAGAAATTAATACATGTATAAACCCATGGGTCTGCTTCAATGTGGATCACCAAACACAAATTTAATTCCTCAGGATTTTTCTTTATATGTCATTGACTTAAAAGAATCTTTTAAAACTGTTCCTTCAAGGTCATTGTACTGTCATGTGTAACTAATCAAAACAAATAAAAAAAAATTTTTTAAAGTTCCTCTTTCCTGATGATCAGAAAAAAATTTGCTTTTACTGTCCTCATTTTTAACCATCCTAAGACTACTAATATATTGCATTGGAAACTTATGCCATAAGGAATGCTAAATAGCCCAATATTATATCAATATTTTGTTAATAAAGCCTTGTTCTTTTTTGGTCATAAATTTTCTCATTTATTTATTTATCATTGTATGGATGATATGTTGCTTACAGGATGAAACATCACAGATGAAATTCTACAAACATTAGGGGAAGTGTTATTACAATCAGGACTCTATGTTGTAACAGAAAAAAATTCAACCTTACCTCTCTATCAGGTACTTGGGACATATATGATTTCAAAAATATTGAATTCCTCACATCCCAAATTTGACCCTTTCTTCTAAATTTTCCTTGGTTCATTTACAGCAATTTTTAGTACATTTAAATTGAGCATGTTCTTGTATTCTGTTAACTACTGATATGCTTTCTTATTTTTTTTCTAGTTGTTAAAGAAATAACACTATACTGCCTTTTTCAAGCTCTACAAAAAATTAACAGAAATTTGGTGCGAGTAATGGTGAGTCAACCTCCTTTATCTAATGTGCCATTATCATTGGTAATTTTTGTAGGAAAACTTTATGCCTTTATAGCAGTAATTGCTATTTATAATCAAAGATTGTATATATCAATATGGTTACACTTTCCTCATTTTTTGGCTAGAATGTTCTGCTTTTGTTGATAAATATGCATAATTAACTGCTGATGGTTGCACTAAAATTTTATCTTTCACAGGCATAGACATTCATGTTTTATATCTCACTTATGGAAAAATTCTACTTCTCCAGTGCTTAAGATTTTTTCCTACTATCAAGTTGTATTTTTTTAGCACCTATTTCTTTTCACATATCTCATGATGGGTGAGTCTCTTTCCTATGTCAGGTTACACACTCCCCCTCTTTCTTGATCTCTACCCTTCTTCTTGTAGCTGGGTTGATGTTGTATACAGATGGAGGTAAACAAAGTGGATAGTATCTGTTTTTATTAATGATAAATTCCTGGACCTCGGATGGAAGGTAACACACAGATGCAGCTGTGAGATCCCTTTATACTTTATTTTCAGATGCTGTAGAATCTCAGGAATGTTTTCATCAAAATTCTTGCTCACTAATGAAGGTGTTTTCCATTTTTTTCCCAACAGACTGTGCCACTGTCAGTAACTGTTCTCACTGTATGCCCTTCTGGGACCCCATATGGGAATCTGTAAATTCATGAGGGCCTACAGTCTAATGCACTTTAGGAAATGAACATTATCCATTTCTTTTCCTTTCATCCTTTTCCCTTTCTCCATGTTTCCATTAAGACTCATTCTGGGCTCATTAGGGCTAGTGCCCATAGATCTAAAAAGGTACCTGCTTGCATTTCTTATTTATTACTCTGCTTTGCCACTATGGACAAACCAACTCATTTAAAAAATGTATTCATTTTTAAAACATTTGCCCCTTCACATATGTCCTATGCTTTTGCATAATTTTGTACTCATTGGCGACTGTCACAGCTTACAAAGAAAGAAAGAAATTGGCCTGTGATGTGGTGAAAAATACGAATTACAACTCTATGGAAATCAATATGCTAAATGAAGAACAAAAAAATCATTTGGTCATTCTTCACAATTGGGCTGCAATTGATTATTATTACATTATAAAGTCTGTAATGATCTTAAAAATATGTCTTGCTTTATTTTAAGGGACAATAGTCACTCCATTTCAGATGAGTTATATTACCTTATAGATATCATTAAAAAGATCCAACAGAATTATGGAAGTTCAGATATATTGGATTGCTTAACCGTGTGGTTAACCAATCTTACTTGGATTAAACAACTTGTCATTGGTGAGTGTCTACAGAGATTGTTGTTTTGTTTTTGATGTTGTTGAAGCCTACCCTAATTTTTCCTCCACCAATATTGAAAAACAAAACAAAACAGAAAATAAACCCCAAACATCATCCATCCAAAAGGCCACACAAACTAAAAAACAAGAAGCTATAAGTGTGTGCTGTGGAAATGTACTAAACAGCAAGTGTCTCTGTGAGAAAACTCCTGGAGAATAAGAGGTGTCTTGTTTCCCACAGCTGGAACATTCTGCAGTTTCTCCCAGACACGATTACAATAACTAATGCATGCTCAACCAGAACACCTAATGTACTAATGGTGCAGTGAACTACTGTAACCTAATGGTATAAATAAAGACAGCTGCTTAGACAAGCAGCCATTTTGCCTCTGCATCTTGCTTCCTTCTCCTTTTGTTCCCTTACAGTCTCAGGACCTTCCCCAGTGTCATAGATGTGTGCACCAGGATCTTCAATGTTTTACTGGTTTCTTTGCCTTCTCATACAGTCAATGGAGCTTAGCAACATTGCCACGTTCACAGTCATGCATAGCGCCTGCCACTGAACCTTCATGATGTCAAGATTTTTCTTCAAGGTATTTATATATTTGGTATTTTCTCAACATAAGTAAATCTCATGGACAACCCCAGCATCTAAGAAGATCAGGGCCTACCCAACAGCTCAGGAGAACACAAGGACTTCTCCAGAATTTCAATCATGTTGAGAAAGGTCCTCATGGTCTTCATGGTACTCAGATTATTGCCCAGGTTTTAGAATAGGCTAAAATCCTACAAAATCGCAGAGGGGTTAACTCATTCACTGTTGACTCAATAGTGTTCAAAATCTACTCAGAGTATTATGGGGCTCAGGGTCTTCCTTAGGTTGACAGATGTATGCATGGCCTTCCCCAAAATCTCAGTGGTCTCATTGCCTTTCCAGATTCTGAGTGAAGCACAGCACCATTCCCAAGGTCTGTAAGATCTCTGGGACTTCCTGGAGGTTCTCAGTAGATGCCACTGGTTTCTCTAGGGGCTCACTGAGTTTCAGAGCTATTCTCAGAGTCCCCTTCTCTAAGGGTTTTTAACACCTTCTCTATGAGGCTTAGTGCTATTTTTGGGATCTCAGTGATGCTCACTGCTTCTCCTAGCCTCAGAACTAGTCTCTGAATCTTTCCCAAGCAAATAATAGTTTCAAGATCTTTCAGAGATTCTCATTGAATCCCAGGGAATTGTCCAGACTCTCTGTGGAGCTGAGTGCCATTTCCAGCATCACAGTTGTGCTCAGCATTTTCCCCAGGATTTGATTTTATATCAGGGCCTTCCCAAGAGTAATTTGATTTTATATAGGGGCTTCCTTTCTATTTCAGCAGGTTTATGGACTCTTCAAAATATCTGGTTGTGCTTAGATTCTTCTACAGTATTCTAGATAACTAATTGCCTTCATTAATGACTCAATGGGGATTAGTGTCTTGCCAGTGTGTCATTGAATTTCTGGGACATTCCTATTGTCACAGTGGTACTCAAGACTTTCCACATTATGTCCTTGGTTCTCAGAGCTACCACAGGTTTATGAGCATAATCTCAGGGCTGTCTCCAACTGCTCTCAACTCTGAAGTATTCTGCATCACGGTTATTTAGGCCCTTGTCTGTCAGGTCTGGTCTGCTGGAGAATGCTTCATGACATCAGTGCAGTTGTAATAGATTGTCCTGTTCTGATAGGCAGCAGAATTGCTGGATGTAGAGTTTATCTAACTAACACATAGCTATGTGGATTTTTACATAACATGCTCTGGAATCTGACCATTCTTTCATTATTCAGTCAATATTAGCCTTTGTTCTCTTATAATGTCAAAATTAATGAGGAACATGGACACTAATTCTTGTTTTATAGCCAGTTTATTAGCTTCCAACACCAGAAGGGCCATTACTGCAAGGGCCCATAAGCAAGGTGGCCAGCATTGGGCTACATACAGAGTCCAGCTGTTTAGAGAGATAGGCCACAGGATGTACCATTTTCCCAGCATTTGAGTCAGAATTCCTACAGCTATTCCATACCATTCATGGACATACAGGAAGAAAGGCTTTGTGAGGTCAGGAAGACCTAGTCCAAGTGTATGGGTGAGTGCTTCTTTAGTGTCCTCAAATTCCTTTTGATTTGTTCTTCTCCCAAATAGCAGATTCTGTGTTTTTCTTTGTGTTCCTTCATAGAGAGGTTTTGCCATAATCGAAAAGTTGGGGATCCATACACAGCAGAATTAAGCAGCACCAAAGATCACTGATTTGACAGCAGGTTGAAGGGACAGGAATTGAGCAGGTCACCTGTTTCCTCTTGTAGCCTAGTTGCCACTGACTCTGAGTCAAACAGAAACCAAGATACATGACTTTTTCTTTACAGATCTGAGCTTTCTTTTTTGAAACTTTGTAACCGGCCTTAAGTAGGAGAGTGAGAAGCCGCTGTGTTCCTTTTAAGTCATCTTCTCTGGTTGTTATCTCAGCATTTCAATTTAGCAGGCCATGTAGCAGCCATGGCCTGCTAAATTGAAATGCTGGGATAATAGGAAAAGATGATGAGTTTGTTTCCTGGGGCCATCTCAATTGTGGTCTCTTTCTTTGAAAGTGGGCCCACAGGTTGGGTCACAACCAAATGGTGAGCCCCAGTGTCCACCATAATTTTCATAGGTTGGTCCCCTATAAATGTTGGGACCATAGGCTTCTGGGGGCGCAAAGAAATGGAGCCCAGTCAGTCCTAGTCCTCATCATAATTTCCCAAGTCTTCAAATCCCACAGAATGTTCTTATAAGCATCATAGGGTTGACTTTCTCATTGAGCATTAAGAGGGACACGTTTGTAGGGCTGGTATCATCCTTGAAGGAGATGGCCTTGCTTATCCTATTAAGGAGTAGCAAGATCCCAGTTGACTTTCTTCATTTTGAGGCATTCATTTTCCCAGTGGCCCTCTAGATGGCAGTGGTTGCGTAGGTTTAGTCTCAGCCTAGTCTCTGGGTGAGGAGGTTGGTCCGGACCATCCTTCAGCCCTGCATCTGGTCCTGATTCTAATATTTGTTCTGGTTTTATCCTGGTGGGAGCCCCTTTGGGTGACTCCTGGGTCTGTAGTAAGGGCAGCCGCAAGGAGAAACCATCTCCTTCATCCTTCACTCTGCTTCTTGCTGGGTCTCTTGGTCTTGATTGACAAACACTGTGGTGGCCACTTCAAACAGCTCACTGGCATTATTCCCAGTAAAACCCTCTAGTGTTCTGTAGTTTTGGTGACTGTCACTCTTGGCCTGTCCCACAATGATTGTGTTGTCCACCTGCTTGTTGTCTGGTGCCTCAGGATCAAAGGGAGTGAAGAGTCAGAGGCTTCACAAGGTTGTTCATAGAACTGACTGGGGCTTTCTTCAGGTTTTGGAGAACTTCTGACACCTTGTTCATGATTAGGGCTCTCCTTCCCCTTCTTTGAAGCCTCCTATGAGGAGTTGTTGATATCTCTTTATATTTTGGAGGTCTTCATCTTTTCTGGGGTCCCACCCTGAGTCTGTGTTGGGAACTGGGCTTGGGCATAGACTTGGATGTTCCTTGTGCATCTGGGACATGTTTCTCTAGCCAGTTTAAAGCACATGGGTCACACATTTGCCCACATCTGTATTGAATGGAGTAAGAAGTAGCTGGCAGCAGTTCCCCCAGGGTTTTAGTCAGATATTTTGCTGCTGTGACTGAAAACTCTGAACAGAACAAAATTTTTAACAAGAAAAGTTTATTTGAGGGCTCACAGTTTCAGATCTCTTACTCCACAGAAGGCTGAGTTCATTCCTCGGGCTCCAGTTGAGGCAGAACCTCATAGCAGAAGAATGTGGCAGAGGGACGCAGCTCACATATTGATCAATAAGCAGAGAGAGATATTCCACTTGTGAGATACAAATATATTTTTGAAACCACACCTCAATTTCCACCCCTTCCAGCCACACCCTACCACTTTAGTTATCACTCAGTTAATCTGAATTAGGTGATTCATAATTAATTTGGTTAACACTGTTATACTCCAACACTTTCTTCTCTGGGCCTTCTTGCATTATCTAACAATAATGCAAGTGAGCTTTTGGGACACCTTACATCCAAACCATAACAAGCAGGTAGGTTAGTGGGTCTGGATAATGAATTGCATCATATCAATGATGGTCTGAGGTTTCTCTGTGTAGGAGGTGGTATGATATTTTCAATTTTAGAGATAATTTGAGGTGAAAGCCTGATACTTAAAAATGCTTTAGGCCCCTCAGATAATTTCCTCCTGGTCAACATAGGCAGGCCTTCTAGTCTCTCACAGGGGCATCTAAGAGGTGTCAGCTGGTTGTGGCTCTGGTCTTAGGATGGGTTCCCATGGTGGTCTTGCAAGGTGGAGGAGGAATCTTTTTTCTTGGGGAAGCCTCTGGCCTTGAGGACCTTATAGAGGAGGGAGGAGCTGGTGTTGAAGGGCCATATTCTGCAGTTTCTGGAAATGAGGGGGCTGAGGACACTGCCATTGTCTCCATGGTCTTGGCAATGTCGGGTAGAGTGGCATGTAAGGAGGTGGGTTATCTTCTGACTCAGTGGATAAAATTGGTTCTTGTCCTTCCCTTTCTTTGTCAGATTTTCTCTGCTTAGTTGCCTTTTGGGGGGTCTTAGAGACTGGTATAATCTGTGCTAACAACTGGATTGTCCATCTAGACAGGCTCTCAACCAGGAGGGATGTTTCTATACTGTCTCTTTCCAGCATTCAAGGGAACTATTCTGGGTGTCCAGGGGTTCCAACAACTATTAAAAAGACTTCAGCAATGAGAGTTTTAATTGAAGATCTTTCTGGTGGAAAGCACCTAAGCTTGGCCATTCTAATTCACTGAGAGTACACAACTTTGATGAGTAAATTTCACCCCATAGTCTCTCCTAAATCTTTCTTAAGGTTTCACAACAGACATTCCAAGGGGTTTAAAGGATTTAGTTACTTTGTGTGCCTTCCATATTCCACCCTGCATCAGTGTCACACACTTCTGACAAGAAACACTTAATCCATCTCCAGCCTTTCTCCTCTTAGAACTTGAGGTCCTCTCAG